AGGCACGCGCCACCATGCCCAGCTAATTTTTTGTAGTTTTAGTAGAGACGGGGTTTCACCGTGTTGACCAGGATGGTCTCGATCTGTTGACCTCGTGATCCACCCGCCTCGGCCTCCCAAAGTGCTGGGATTATAGGCTTGAGCCACCGCGCCCAGCCTTTACCAGGCTAGTCTTGAACTCTTACTTAGCCTTAAGCAATCCTCCTTCCTCGGCCTTCCCAAGTGCTGAGGTTATAGGCGTGAGCCACCGTGCCCAGCCACAAAGTATTTTTTTAGATTGAATCATCAGTTGCTTTGACTTTAATATTACCTCCATATTTTACTGAAACATAGCTCTGTATAGTTATTTGCTTGGAAGAAAAACTAAAGATGTGAGAAATAATGGAAAGAATTTACTTAATCCTCTGTCCTGATCAGTAAACTAAACCCTGGAGATGCAAATCTGAAATAATCTGATTACCATTCTTCTGAGCATCATGACAGTTGTGCAGGCTTCTGTTATTTTATTTCAATTAGATTCAAATTGTTTTTTGAAGGAGCATACCAAAGATATATAGCAGGATATAATTTAAAACAAAAATTAGTCACAGGTGATTCACTCATATTCCCAGAATTTTGAATACATGTTGGACTGTGGTTCTTTGACCTGTGTTTCCTAGGAAAACAAAAAGGCACCCTGATATGAGAATCTGAGATTTTTCCTCCAAGAATTCTTCTAATAACATTGATTATAGTTAGACTTTACTTTGGTTTTTATTCACTTATTCAACAAATATTCATTTATTCCTGCTTTATGCCCAGCACTTTCTCGGGTGATAAGAATACAGTAGTAAAGAAAGCACAGAATATATCTTCTCTCATGGTGATCACTGGAGATGATTTACAGAATTATTCTTTTGCGTTTTATTGTTGTTCTTTTATTTTTTTTTGAGATAGGGTCACCCAGGGGCTGGAGTGCAGCGACAGGATCACAGCTCACTGCAGCCTTGACCTTTTGGGCTCAAGCAGTCCTCCCACTGCAGCCTCCTGAGTAGCTGGGACTACAGACACATGCGCCACAATGGCCAGCTCATTTTTTATTTTTCGTACTTTTTTTTTCACTTGTTTTTACTCAGAGCCGTATTTTTAAAATTGTTTTGTAGGGATGAGATCTCACTATGTTGCCCAGGCTGATCTCGAACTGCAGGGTTCAAGTTATCCTCCTACCTTTGCCTTCCAAAGTGTTGGGATTATAGGCATGAGTCACCTTGCTGAGCCTGTTGTTGTTATTGATTGACCTGGTGGTAATACTACTGATGTGTGTCCTATTTAATGGCATATACATATATATATATATATTTGTGGCGCTTATAAAACTTGACATTGTAGCCAGAAGAAGATTTTCCGACCTATTTCCAGATGAGAACGTAGATGTTCACTTCATCTAAAGATTTTTAATATTCTGGTTTTCTGTTTATTGTTTTAATAATTGGGTATTTCTGAAACACCTCAGAGGTGTACATTAGCTTATATTAAAAATGCAATACAATTTTTGTTTTATGATTTCATTCTTATCTATATATGATATCTAATGTACAGAATTTTACTTGTTTTTTTAAAAAACAACTTTTGAGGCATTTTGGCTACATAGCTGACTTATTTAAAGCATAGTATTTATAAAATCGTTAATTTTATACCCTTTTGTAAACAAGTTAACTTTTATAGGAAAGAAACAGTTTTGCTTTACTGGTTTTGGGTTTAGTGCAAGTAATACCTTGTGTTCTTATCCTTTGTATAGAATCTAGGTCTTCTGATTTTGGATCAATTCGTCATCACTACTGAATGAATCAAGTAATAGAGAGTTTACTCATCACCTGTGTGCTTTTTTGATTTTGGCATGTTCAGTTTAACAGCTAAGCGAATGACTTGATCAAGACATTTGAATATACATTAGCGTTCTATGCCACGTAAATGTTGTCATATCATTTAAATGTGCTTATTTTCTGACTGTCTCTTAAATTTGGTCAAGTGTTCAATATTTAAAATTTTCTTTTTCTGATTACACACAGACACACACAGACACACACAGACACACACACACACACACACACACACACACATTTATTTTTTGAGTCGAGGTCTCTGTCGCCCAGGCTGGAGTATGGTTGTGCAGTCTTGGCTCACTGCAACCTCTGCTTCTTGGGCTCAAGTGATCCTCTTACCTCAGTCTCCCGAATAGCTGGGACTACAGGCGCAGCCACCACATCCAGCTACTTTTTGTGCCTTTTGTAGAGATGGGGTTTTGTTGTGTTATCCAGCCTAGTCTCAAACTTCTGGGCTCAAGCCATCTGTCTGCCTCGGCCTCTAAAAGTGCTGCAATTATCTGCTTGAGCTACTGTACCTGGTCTTGATTCCATATTTTATATATTTTTATTTTTATTTTATTTCTTTTTTTGACTCAGTGTCTTGTCCTGTAGCCCAGACGAGAGTGCGGTGGCACAATCTTGGCTCACTGCATCTCCATCTCCCGGGTTCAAGTGATTCTCCTGCCTCAGCCTCCCAAGTAACTGGTATTATAAGAGCGCAGCACCACGCCCGGTGAATTTTTTTATTTTTAGTAGAGACAACTTTTAACCATGGTGGCCAGCCTGGTCTTGAACTCCTGACCTCAAGTGATCCACCTGCCTTGGCCTCCCAAAGTGCTGGGATTACAGGTGTGAGCCACCGCGCCTGGCCCTGATTCCATATTTTAAAACTCTATAATGGAACAGTTTAGTAGTGGAATAGATTGATATTTTTAAACCAAATAAATGTGTTTTTCCCTGTGTTTTATTTATACTTTTTTAGGTGGCAGCCAATGCACACATTCCTCCAGACTACCTCCTTAAAATTTGTGAGAGGATTGGTCCTTTACTAGATAAAGAGATCCCTCAGAGTGTTCCTGGGGTACAGACATTATTAGGTGTCGGTCGGCAGTCTCTGCTACGGGATGCCAAAGGTGAGATTTTCAGAATTTAGAACTGTGATACCTGAGGAAGGAGTGGAGAGTAGCTTATTTTTAGGTTGAGAAAATGTTCCCATGCTTTTCTAAATACTTATCTTCTGGTTTCTCTTATCTTGCCGATGTTTTTGTTTTTTTTAGTGTACATGTAAATTTTTAGAGACCTAAAAAGGAGACCTGTTGTGTAAAAGTGAATATATAGAGGTAACGGATATAAAATACCTTTGTAATCATGGAATAGAGATCTCAAAGATTGCTGCTTTGATTAGTACAGTATAAATATTTAAAATACTCTTTCATTATAATGTTCTTACTCTTTATTAGTTTTGATAATATCATCCTAATGATATTGTGCATTTTGTAACACATAAATGAAAATTATATGTACCGTTTTTTTCTCTTTGTTTTTTTTTTTCTTTTTAGTTTTGTGGTTTTATATATGTACAGTTTTTATATTTGAACATATTTAAACAAAAATATCAACCCATCAGTAATTGTTAAATAAGTTTTTCTACTGTGCTGATTTTCAGTGTTTTACAGATTTTTCCCAAGTTTTACATGGAACCTCAATATGTCAAACATATAAAGTGGTATTTGATAAACATAAAAATGTAAAATTAGGCATTAAAGATGTAAAATTAGGCATTAAAGATGCTTCTTGGAGTAATAAATAGTTAATATCTAGCAGCCCATTTATTTCTATGTTTTGTTTTATTAGCATACTATTTTTAAATATCCTAATTTGGCCAGGTGTGGTGGCTCACTCCTGTAATCCCAGCACTTTGGGAGGCCAAGATGGGCAGATCATGAGGTCAGTAGTTTGAGACCAGCGCGGTCAATATGGTGAAACCCTGTCTCTACTAAAAATACAAGAACTAGCTGGGTGTGGTGGTGCACGCCTTTAATTCCTGCTACTGAGGCTGAGGCAGAAGAAACGCTTGAACCCAGGAGTGAGAGGTTATAGTGAGCTGAGATCACACCACCGCACTCCAGCCTGGGCCACAGAGTGAGACTCCATCTCAAAAATAAATACATAAACACATAAATAACTAACCTAATTCTCCAAGATAAATAGTTGTGTAATGATATCAGATTTTAAGCATCTCATTTTATAACTTATTAATTGAGTTTATTTGGAAGCTTTGAGGAGAGCTTTTGGCTTTTTGTTTTAAAGCCAAGTTATTAGTAGTATTTAATATGCCTTTACATTTTTTGACTTATGAAAGTCAGAGAAAAAGACACAGCTATTTATAATCAGTTACCATCTGATATGCAGTGCTGTTATCTGTTATGACACAGCTGGCAAGTATTTCATAATATGAACATGTACCCAATATGCCTGAATTTTCCCTGGCATACTTGGGCTATAGTTATATCCTGGCTTATGAAATTTTATATGAGTAGATGTGTAAGCCTAAAAATCAAGAAAAACTGATGTAAACTTAAAAGCTTATTAATCCGTGACATATTTACATAAAATTCAAATATGTGCATAATAAAAGCTTTAGTTCAAGACTAGCTTAGAAATAAAATATCCAGATGATATGTTAAGGTGTTGGTGTTTACCAGTTATAAATTTCATTTGTAACATGTTCAAATATATGCCTATTATTTTCATTTTGGTTTAACAGTTAAAAATGTATTCCAACAAATGAAATTAAAATCAGACATTTACTTCTGAGACATGGTTAACAAAAAAAGCTGCTCTATTTGTTAGCTAACATTTGGTCTTTTTATATAGACTGTAAGAGTACACTATGGAATGGGTCTGCTTTTGCGGCTCTACATAGAGGCAGACCTCCAGAACTACCTGTAAATTATGTGAAACCTCCAAATGTGGGTGAGTAATAGACACGTGTGTTATAAACAGATTGTTTATTATATTTTTATTATACTTTAAGTTCTGGGGTACATGTGCAGAATGTGCAGGTTTGTTACATAGGTATACACGTGCCATGGTGGTTTGCTGCACCCATCAACCTGTCATCTACATTAGATATTTCTCCTAATGCTACCCCTTCCCTATCCCCCCACCCACCAACAGACCCCTGTGTGTGATGTTCCCCTCCCTGTGCCCATGTGTTTTCATTGTTCATTTAATAAATGGTGTTGGAAACTGACTAGCCATATGCAGAAAACTGAAAGTGGATTCCTTCCTTATACAAAAATTAACTCTAGCCGGGCGCGGTGGCTCAAGCCTGTAATCCCAGCACTTTGGGAGGCTGAGGCGGGTGGATCACAAGGTCAAGAGATCAAGACCATCCTGGTCAACA